GAGCTCTTATGTATCTTGCAAATTGCACAAGACCAGATATATCTTTTGCTACCAACTTGTTAGCAAGATATAACTCGTCACCTACGAGGAGACACTGGAATGGAATCAAGCACATATTCCGTTATCTCCAAGGGACAATCGATTTGGGATTGTTTTACTCAAATGATAAAAAACATGAAATGATCGGTTTTGCAGATGCAGGATATCTATCAGACCCCCATAAAGCGAGATCTCAAACTGGCTACGTTTTCACGATTGGTGGAACTGCATTTTCTTGGCGTTCCCAGAAACAAACATTAGTCGCGACATCTTTAAACTATGCTGAGATCATTGCACTTCATGAAGCAACTAGGGAAAGTATCTGGCTCAGAAACATGACTCAACATATTCAACAAGCCAGTGGACTATCGAATAATACTGACCCGACGGTGATATTCGAAGACAATGCAGCATGTGTCGCTCAAACCAAAGAAGGATACATTAAGAGTGACAGAACTAAACATATCCCGCCAAAGTTCTTCTCATATGCTCAGGAGCTTGAAAGAAACAAACAAATCAATGTTCAATACATTCGATCAAGCGATAATGCAGCAGATTTATTTACGAAAGCACTTCCAACTACAATGTTTCGAAAGCATGTGCACAATATTGGAATGAGACATCTTCGGGATTTGCATAGATAATAACTCGAGGGGGAGCATGTGCGGCTGTACTCTTTTTTCCTTATCTCGGTTTTTTTTCTCACAGGGTTTTTCCAGATAAGGTTTTTAACGAGGCAGCATAAACTCACAGTTAATAGTAGATACTCCACTAAAAATAGTCATTCAAGGGGGAGTGTTGTAATATAAGGTGTGCATGCACCTCGCGTGATTATTTTAATGTATGTGAATGACTATTTTGTCCCTGATGTAATTGTATTATTACGATTGTACCAACAGAAGTTTTCCTATAAATAGGGGCTTCAGTTATAATGAAAAATACACCGAAACGAATACAGTTTCTCTATTCTCTATAGTCTCAATTCTCTCTAGTTTTATAACAGTAACAACATTTTTACATTGATTATAATCCCTAGAAAAAACAATACTGAAATGATTAATCATTCACATTGAATGTGCGTTTGGAACGAGATGACTTATCAACATACTAGTATGAGTCTCGTGCAGTGCACGGGTAAGAGATATTCATTAACATTTATAAATTAAAAATTCTTATTAAGTAATATTTAAAACTAAAATATGGAATCAATATGCAATACAATTACTTATACTAATTTATTGAAAATGTTATACAAAGTTTAAATTGTACAAAATTAAATAAAAATATTTATTTAAAATTAGTACACAACCCATGTGGTGCACATAACTGATAATAAATTACATTATATTCATTTCAAAATAAGTATCATTTCATAATTTTTATTTATAAATTCGATTTGACTATAATGTGATTCCATAAAATAGTTATTTTGGTAAAAATGTTATCATATACTTAACAACCTATGTGAATAATAACTACTAGTACAATACCCGTGTATTACACGTGTGTTGAATTAGAAATCTTTTGTTAAAAAATATTAATTTTTTTATTTTTTAAAAACTAAAATAATTTAATTTTATATAAAATATTACTTTGGGTAATTAAATTATCAAATTATAATTTTGTAATCATAATAATTAAACACCCGTTTATTAAATGAAAATGTCAACCTGTATTGAATTTTTTTACTTATATTATATAAAAATATCGATATTATTTACTATTACATAAGTACAAAAATATATATCTTAAATAAATAGAAATAATATGGTGATATGTATATGCATAAGTGTAGAATATGTTTATTTAATATTAAGCAAAATAGATTATCTTTTTTACTTAATTAAATGAAAATGTCAACCCATGTTGAATCTTTTTACTTATATCATATAAAAGGATCGATATTATTTACTATTACATAATTACAAAAATAGATATCTTAAATAAATAAAAATGATATGGTGATATGTATATGTATAATTGTATAATATGTTTATTTAATATTAAATAAAATAGATTAATATTTTTACTTAATTAGATGTCTAATACATCAAGTGTCGTATCAGTCATGCTTCACAGTCTTTTAACTTTATATCTAATTTTAGAATTTATATAAATAATTATTTTTATTACATTGACAACATACCAATTAGATTTGAAATAATATCATTTTTAACAAAATACATACCAATTTCTATTACTTTATAATATAATTTATGGTTTTATTTGATATAATTTAATTTAGTTTGACAAATAAATTTAAATTTTATTTATAAGGATATATATTACTATTTTTATTATATATATAAAAATAAATAGTAAAATACAAATGGACTTCATAATATCAATTCAAATGCAACACACCAATTAAGATTTTTTTTTATTTTCTTGACAATATTAACCCTATTTAATGGATGTTATGATGGAGATGGGATATATGAAGAGACATTGTGTATTAGATGAAAGGTTAAAAATAGAAAAATATGAACAAAATATCTAAAATAACATTTATTTTATCAATGATCAATTAAGCCAAAGTGGCAAATAATAAATATAGGAGGGAGTATATATTATTGTTTATTTTAGTATGACACATGTTAATTGTGCGACTTATATGTGTTATATTATAATAGATTTTCTACCTTATAACATATAACTACATTAAACATAAATATATTAATTGATAAATAATTTTATTTTATAATTAATTTTAATAAATAATTTTATTATTATTATAAAGATAAATATAATTTATTTATTTTATAATTTTATTATAATTATTATTTATTATAATTTTATTTATTTTATATATACAAGATAGATGTCAAATCGATGCTCATCAAAAGATGATTAATTTGATATATTATATATGTAAAACCGATAAGAAATACAAAAGTTATCAACTTTTAAAATATATTTGCAATTCAATGGTTATAATAGGAAATGATATTATAATACAATTAATACACATATTAATTTATATCCAAGCCTAACTCCAAAGCATGATTTTTTGCCAAGTAGAATTCTGAAGTATGAGAATTTGCATTGCATTCTGAAATTATATATAGAGGGGATTTCTAGATTACAGTACATGCACAACATATTTTAATCGCTTTTAGTATCACAAGTAAAAAGCTCGCAAGTATTACTGGAGTAATGAATATAACTACACTTTAATTTTAATTTTAATTAGTATTGAAGCATACCAGCAAAACCGAAAAAATTTCAAAGCTAATCATGTTGTAGATATTATTGAGATTTTGTCTACATATTAGTAAAATAAAATAAAAAACAAAAAACTTTTTGAATTATAATGTGAACACGTATTGAAACATGTTTTTTATAAACATCAATTTTATTTACGAAAAATTTTCTAATTGTAAATTGAAAGACCGGCAAATGAAAATTTTCAAAAGAAAGTTATTAAATTTAGTTAGTTCCTAAGCGGGATTTTCATTTATTTTTTACTTACTATTTTAGAATTATTTAGGTTACCTCTTTATATAATAATAGATTACTAGTACAATACTCGTGTATTACACGGGTGTTGTATTAGAAAGCTTTTATAAAAAATATTAATTTTATTATTTATTAAAATTGAAAATAAATTAATTTTATAAAAAATATTACTTTGGATTTTAATTAAATTGTCAAATTATATTTTTTTTACTCATAATAATTAAACATCCGTATATTAAATGAAAATGTCAACCGTGTTGAATTTTTTTACTTATACCATATAAAAATATCAATATTATTTACTTATTGCATAAGTACAAAAATATATATCTTAAATAAATAGAAATAATATGGTGATATGTATATGTATAAGTGTAGAATATGTTTATTTAATATTAAGCAAAATATATTAATTTTTTTACTTAATTAGATGCATAAAACATCAAGTGTCGTATCAGTCGTACTTCACAGTTTTTTTAACTTTATATGTAATTTTAGAATTTAGATAAATAATTATTTATTTTTATTACATTGACAACATACCAATTAGATTTGAAATAAATGTCATTTTTAAAAGAATACATACCAATTTCTATATAGTATAATTTATAGTTTTATTTGATATAACTTAATTTAGTTTGTTAAATAAATTAAAATTTATTTATAAGGATACATATTACTGTTTTGTATTTTATCTATATAAATATATATATAAAAAAAATAAATAGTAAAATACAAATGGACTTCATAATATCAATTCAAATGCAACACACTAATTAAGATTTTTTTTTCTTGACAATATTAATCCTATTTAATAGATGTGATGGGAAACAATAGAGATGGGATATGAAGAGACATTGTGTATTAGATGGAGGGTTAAAAATAGAAAAATATGAACAAAATATCTAAAACGACATTTATTTTATCAATGATCAATTAAGCCAAAGTGACAAATAATAAAAATAGGAGGGAGTATATATTATTATATATTTTAGTATGACACATATTAATTGTGCGACTTATCTTTGTTATATTATAATAAATTTTCTACCTTATAACATATAACTACATTAAACATAAATATATTAATTGATAAATAATTTTATTTTCTAATTAATTTTAATAAATAATTTTATTATTATCATAAAGATAAATATAATTTATTTATTTTATATATACAATATGGATGTCAAATCGAAACTCATCAAAAGATGATTAATTTGATATATTATATATGTAAAACCGATAAGAAATACAAAAATTATCAACTTTTAAAATATATTTGCAATTCAATGGTTATAATAGGAAATGATATTAAAATACAATTAATATAAATATTAATTTATATCCAAGCCTAACTCCAAAACATGATTTTTTGTCAAACAAAATTATGAAACATGAGAGTTTGCCATGAGGCACAGCGTATTCTGAAATTATATATAGGAAGTTGAAGCTATTCCCTCCGCTCCCGATGAATGAGTCACTACAGACCGAAGATGTAACTACCAGTTCCTTGCTTCTCCACTGTTCTGGCTAATCCATGAGATCAGGCTCTTCGCCTTTCAAGATATTTCGTATAAAGAGAGAGATTTCCTATTGCCCTGCCTCCAACAGAATTAATGGCACCAACTGATTCAATAACTGGTTTTCAAGCCTCACTCGATTTCCTTTATATGTTGATGGCCAGTTCATTCCTATTTTCTAAAAGAAGCTAGGATCTTCTAATAATTATTAGAATACGGATACCACCAGCCTTATCCAAGACCGAATAAGCCTTATGACTTCACGTTCAATTCGCTTCGTTCGTTTATATAATAATAGATTATAGGTCAATTAACATGTTTTTTTTACTGGTCAATTAACATGTTGAAGGGCCAAAACTTGTCACTTTCCACATATTCTGCCATAACTCCGCCTCGTGGGAATCATGAGATACAAAATGACAGTTTT